GTTCTCCTCTGCCATGGCCTTTTATAAGGGCTGCCATCAGAAGGTAACACCCACAGATGATCCAATCAAGAAGATCTCTCTCATTTCAGTTAATCCCAGATCCAGTCAAATTGACACCCAGGATTAGCCATCACAAACACTGACTGCTGTAATAATGTAACCTATGGGCATAACAAAACAATTACAGTGGCTTCCCCACTGGGGCCTATAACTTCATCAGCCATTGAAGGGTTGTCCTGGCTTGCAGTACCAGATGTGCTTTCTTCCCCAGGGAGTGAACCTTAAATCCAATTGGAAATGTGTTGGTTGTACATATACTAGTTGTGCCACTATTTCGCCAGCAGGTACATCTTGCTTGGTATGTCAATAGTGCAGCACTCAGGTTCTGTCATTAGGCAGAACTTCGGGATAATTCTCTCCTACTGATTCTACATAGCACCTCAGGGCACTATGACCAGCAGCCATCCAGCAGTGGGGAGATTCTCGATTTCTCCTTTCCATGCTCATATCACGCAATGTCTTCAGCAATAAGGTCTTACCATCTACTGGTGTGCAACCAACATTAGTGGCAATAGCCTTTATCATTTTGGGGGCCTCCCTGGCCAACTGCTCATAGTGGGGCAACCCACCCCTGGTTCTGGAATTTTCATTTAACAATTGTGCAGTTTTTAAGAGCCTTTATTTTTATTTTCATACGATGTCTGTTTGCGCTTTGGCATCTATAGGCCCAGGCTGTTGTAGACTTCTCCCAGCCATCCTGGTGGATAATATTTGTGCCTTGCCCAGCCATAAAGCTCCCAAGAATTTAACAGCTATACCTGGCTTTTATATCCTTTGTGAATTTATTTTCTGTTCTTATTTCTTCAGGTGTACTTGATATCTCTCAAATGAGTTCCATATCTGCAAAGCACGCAGAGGTTAACACTATGTACTAAATCAGACATAAACAAGGTCTAACAAAACCTGGAAAGATTTTATTCATTTGTTTTAAAAAAAATTATTATTTTTATTTTATGTGTATGCGTGTATCACTTGGATGTAGGTAAGTGCACCTGTGTTGTGCAATGCCTGCAGAGGACAGAAGAGGCTGTCAGATCCCCTGGGACTGGAGTTATGGACAGTTGTTAGCTGCCATGTGGGTGCTGGGATTCCAACCCAGGTCTTCTGCAAGAACAACCAGTGTTCTTAACTGCTGAGCCATCTCTCTAGCCTCAGATTTTATCCATTTGTATCAATTGTTTTCTCAACAGATCCATGTTGGGTACAATAGCATGGATAAGAGGCATTAATTTAGTTCTTTCTTTACTATCTTTAGTTACATTTTTGGACTTATTTGGTATCTTGCAGTTCTTACATGGAGCCTCTCTGCATTTCTCCATCCCTGATAAATTCATTGGGGCTGGCTCAAGCTGCCTGACTCCATACAGGGCCAAGGAGGAATAGGGCCCCTCTTGCCCTGTTGTACCTGTTGGTTCCCTGGGTCAGGTAGGCCCTAGCTCTGTCTCCTGGCTGTAGTCATACCTGTTGTCTTTCTGTCAACCATACCTGCCTGCAAGCGGAGGCCCCAGCTGGGCAAACTGCCTCACACTTTCATAGTGAGAAATGTACCCTATTTAATATGGGGGGATCATTATCCACCCCTGAGACAATTTTTATCTTACCTTTATTGTGTTTTAATCATGGATGCCTTTTGTGAACTCTTCCTCAGCTTTTAAAGCCTTCTAGAAGCTCCTTAGCTTCTTAGCGTTCTGTCATTTTTTTCTTTAGGAACTTGGGCTTGACACAAATCTTGCCACATTTGCCTTCAAGTACCCCAAACAGACCTCTTTCTCTGCTTTCTCTTTTTCTATCTCTTTTAGGTTGCTCTACTATTTTGCAGACACATTTTACATGATGGTCTAAGTCACTTAGATCTGCCAAAGCCTCTCCTACTTCATAAAGATCCTGTCCAACTGAGGGACTCGGCAAAGCCACTAAAGCTCCACACTGATCTTGAAGTCCCCGCTGAATCAAATCTTTAAATCTCTGATGAACACAGTCCTATGTGGTCTAGTGAATTGGGCATCGTGCACTGATTTCCTCATACTCAGTTCTCTCAGTGGTGCCTGTCCCTCTTCTGTTGTTCTCCAGCCCCTGATCACCATGGGAATCTCCACTGGTGATGACCAAGCATCTCTAATGGCCCATACAAGCCAGTCCATCAGGGACTGGTTCCCCCTGTACTGCCTCAGGTTATGTAGCCTATGTCTCAAGGAGGGGTGGATGGTTATATTGTTGAGCTTTGATGCTTCTGCAGCACTTAAACTAATATCATCTGTGCCTATATCCCATATCTTCATAAGCCAGGTAGTGAGGGGCTCCTTCATTGT